CCACTGCACTCCCGGGCCACAGCAGAGAGCTGGCCTGGAAGAGGGGCAACCGGGACAGAATCTGGCACCCCGACCAGGACTAGAACGCGGTGTGCTGGCACCACTAAGCGGAGGATTAGCCTATTGAGCCGCGGCGCCGGCCCTGATTGACTTCTTAGCATGTGCCAGAACCTCCTACTCAGCAGAATGCTGGAAACTTGCTTAGAAGACTTTGTGGTCTATCCCAACCATGGGCGTCTCTGGAGAAATACAGAATCAGCCATTCTTATAACCATTAAAATGAGAATGGCGGCTTCTACCCCAAACCACAGTTTTTGTAACTGCCAGAATGCTCTACCCTTCTCCTAGGCTGACCTTTTATGCAAATTGAATGTTCTGACTGGCGCCACAGCTTGCTTGGCTAATCCTCCGCCTGCGGTGCCGGCACCCCTGGTTCTGGTCCCAGTTGAGGCACCGGATTCTGTCCTGGTTGCTCCTCTTCCAGTCCAGCTCCCTGCTGTGGCCTGGGAGTGCAGTAGAGGATGGCCCAAGTGCTTGGGCCCTGCACTCTCATGGGAGACCAGGAGAAGCACCTGGCTCCTGGCTTCAGATTGGCACAGTGCACCGGCCATGGCAACCGTTTGGAGGGTGAAGGAAGAAAGGAAGACCTTTCTCTCTGTCTCTCTCTCTCACTGTCTAACTCTGATTGTCAAAAAAAAAAAAAAAAAATTGAATGCTCTTGTAATTTTCTCATCAGAACGAGTCAACATTGGGGTTCCCCGGGGCAGGCTGATGGCCTCCTGAGAACACACCCCCAAAGAAGAGACCTTGTGCCCCTGGGAATTTTAAAGGAGCCCTAGGCAGAGCCACGCCGGGAAACCACACAGATGTTCATGGGCCAAGGTAGGCGTCACGCTGGGTGTGTGATGGTAACTCAGGGCACCCTTGAGGCCACAGAGCAGCGGAGACACCCCCGCTCTTACGCAGGCCCACCAACTCGAGCTTTCTCCGTTGTACATGGCCATGGGCCGTTAGGGCATAAGGACGCAGGCTTGCCCATGGAATTCTGAACCCACACAGGCTGCTCCTAAGCCTCTCCCCGGGGCCAGGGTGCACAGCCAAGGTCACGACCCCGGAGACTCGGTGGGCTGAGCGAGTTGGCAAGAGGGTAGCTCCCAGAGGAGGCATCAGGCTGCCTTGTGGCCGCCTGTCCCCCAGCCTGATCGGCCGACTTATTCAGAAGACAGAGAGAGAGCTACGGAATGGGATTTTATTGCTAACCATGAAACACGATGATGGACAAGGGATTGTCCTGACTCCAGAAACTGCGACGGGGCGTTCACGCCAGTGCCACTAGGGGTCAGTGTTGGGGAGCAGCAGGAAAGCTGCCACCCGCGACACCAGCGTCCCATAGCAGAGCAATGGTTTGTGTCCTCGCTGCTCTTCTTCCCACCCAGCTCCCTGCTAATGAGCCAGCGGAAGCCCAACTACTTGGGCCCCTGACGCCTACCTGGGACACCCAGCTGGAGTTCCAGGCTCCTGGATCTTTAGCCTGGCGCAGCCCCAACCATTTGTGGCCATTCGGGGAATGAACCAGCAGATGGAAGATCTCTGTCTCTCATTATGCCTTTCAGAATATAAGTGAATCTTTAAGATAAAAATAATAAAAATGGCACAGTGATAGCACCCACTATGGGTGAGATACGGCAGTGGGTACAAGAGTTTATTCTGTGGCCGGAGTTGCAGACACACTGTTTAGGGGTCATCCAGAATGGCATGACCTGTGACAAAGACAAAGAGCCATGACAACCCCCCACCCCAGTGAGAGTTCAACGTTGGGGCCATTGCCCCCTTGAAGCCTGGCAGGCTGATCTGGTCCCACCACCCCACCACCAGCCCTGCCACCCCACCCCCACCCCCACCACCCCCACCCCTACCACCCCCCGCCGTGGGGAGCTTCGATGCTTCCCGTGTCTGGGCACAGCTCTGGGTGGGCAGAGAAGGCCTCTGAAGTGGCTCCGGCTCCCCAGCGAGTCCAACTCTGCCGGCACCCAGCCAGCACCACCTGCAGGTCGCACTCTTCCAGGGGGGCCCAGGCCGCAGGAGAAATGAAAGAGGTGAACCACACTGGAAAAACCATCTTGCCGGAGCTGGCGTTGTGGCACCGCGGGCTGAGCCTCCATTTGCAATGCCAGCATCTCGTATCAGAGCGCTGCCTTGGGTGCCGGCTGCCCTGCCTCCGGTCCAGCTCCCTGCTAAGCACCTGGGAAGCAGCAGAGGAGGGTGCAGGTGCTGGGGCCTCTGCCACCCATGTGAGACACCAGGGTAGTCTGAGCCCTGGCCCTGACTTCAGCCTAACCTGGTTCCTGCTGTAGCGGCCATCTGGGGAGTGAACCAGCGGATGACTTCATCGGGGACAACACATTGCCGGCTGCCCTGTGTGGGTGTGGGTGGTCCCGGAAGCAGACCCCAGCTGAAGCCATCCCAGGTTGCTGCTCTCCTGGGTGGGGCACCTGTTCAGTGTCCAAGGAAATAATCTCTAAGTGCGTTAACCCTCGGGTGCCTGCATGAGTTTGCGATTCGCACCCGGTCCCTCTTCTTCCAGGACGTGAGAGGGACACGCAAGTGGTGGCCTCAGGGAGGTAGAGGGGCTCCCCCGAGGGTGTGATGGATCTGCCAGGCTCAGGTTGTGTCTTGTCTGGAGGAAATCGCCCAGGGTGGAGGCGGGGAAGCCGGGCTTGGGATCTTCCACGGGAACCCCGTGGATGGCCCAGGACAGGCGAAACCTGTGTGGGTTTTCTGGGTGTTGGGCGTGGAGCATTGGAAGGCCTTTATCTAGACAAGGTTTAGAAAGGGAAAGGGGAGAGAGTGCAAAGGAGATAACAGAGACTCAACCCCAACCCCGGCCTCCAGGCAAGGGAGGGAGAGGGGCTGCTGATGCCACCCCTACCCCCACCCCCACCCCAGGGAGCAGGGGCTGCAGAGGGGGTCAGCTCAGGGGCTGTGACCCGAGGCAGGGGCGGAGAGCAGCCCTGACAGCCAGAAAGCCCCTGAGGCTGGAGGGTGATGCTGGAGAGACGAGCCTGGCTGACGTCACATGTCCCCGACGTCACGACGGCTGCCACCGGGTGACAGCGTGCTTCAGGGTCACGGCTCTTCCACGGCAGGCTGCTGCCCAGGCATCCGTCAACCCAGCTGATCCCTACAACCCGTGAGAGGATCATCTGAGCTTCTAGTTAGTGTAGGCTGCTGCTTTTTCAGACCAGTGTTTTGTGAGCGGCCCCAAGAGACCACACCCAAAATCTAGGCAAAGTCACTCAGGCTAAAGCTCAAACAGAAAGTAAGCTGCTATCTGACCTTCCAAGGTGAGAGATAACAGCTCAAGCCAGACCAGTTTATTCCCAGTCTTAATCCTGACATTCCCTAATCCTTTCAAGGAGTAACCTGACATAATATGGTGTTAACCAATCAAAGAATTTCTATCTCCCTGGTCCCGCCTTACAAAGAAAGACTTGGCAATGATGCGTCCACGCCAGTTCTTTGTTTCTGCTTTCTTTTTTTTTTTTTTTTAAGATTTATTTTATTTGAAAGGCAGAGTTACAGAGAGAGGTAGAGCCAGAGAGAGGTCTTCCATCCACTGGTTTACTCCCCAGATGGCCACAATGGCTGGAGCTGAGCTGATCCGAAGCCAGGAGCCAGGAGCTTCTTCTGGGTCTCCCACTCTGGTGCAGGGGTCCAAACACTTGGGCCATCTTCTATGCTTTCCCAGGCCATAGCAGAGAGCTAGTTCGGAAGTGGGGTAGCTGGGACTCAAACTGGCGCCCATAAGGGATGACGGCACTGCAGGCGGCAGCTTTGCCCGCTACGCCACAGCACCGGTCCCTTTCTGTTTTTTTGTAAAACCCATCTCTGCTCAGCTCAGAACTCTTGCTCTGTTTTAAGCAAATGTTGCCCAATTCCAGAATCACAAAGAAAGCCAAGTGGGGCAGGCGCTTGGCAGCTGATCCCCGAGCTGCAGGGAGCATGATGCATTCATGCCTCCGAGCGCTTCAGTCCAACTTCCAGCTTGCTCCACTCTTCACCCAGATTCCTGCTAACACAAACCTGGGGAGCAGCGAATGACAGCCCGAGTGGCCGGGTCCCTGGACTGAGTCCTGGGGCTCCCATGTGGGTGGCAGGAGCCCAACTACTTGAGCCACCACCTGCTACCTCCCAGGTGCATTCGCAGGAAGCTGGATCGGAAGTAGAGCAGGCGGGACTCAAACATGGATGCTGGCGTCCCAAGCAGTGGCTTCACCTGCTGTGTCGCGGCCCCCATGTGCCCTGGAGGAAGGCAGGACAGGCAGCACTGACCCCCACTTTGGGTCCCCAGCTCCCTTCCAGAAGCCAGAGTAAACAGTAAATTCTGCCTTTCAAAAAGCTATTTGGGGGCTCGTGTATAGAGGGTTAAGCCACCACCTGCAATGCTGGCATCCCAAACTGGGCCCCTGCACCGACATGGGAGACTCAGATACCCAGATACTGTTCCTGCTTTCTGGTTTCGGCCAGATCCCAGCCTGCAATGGATACCTGCATCTCAGTCTTTTTTCTTCAAACTCTTTTAGCTCAGGAGAGAAATATTTGCCCATCAAAAGTTGGAAATCTTCCCCCCTACAAATATGGCATCACAAACATGGAGGCCATACCCACTTCCTTCATGTCTCCTTTTGTCCCTACAAACCTTGCACTTGCCCTGGTTCCCTTGGAGAAACCTGTGGTCCCCCAGAGCTTGAACATCCTCCGTACAAGCCCTCCTGGGCATTAACCCTGAGGAGCCACCACGGGAACCGGAGGTGACAGACGCCCGGAAGGGACAGAAATGGCTTCGTCGCGACTGGATGCCGAGACTTCCAGGGCCAAAGCTCACAGCCACCTTCTGTCGGGGGGTTTCATCAGGAAATCCAGGCCAACCCATCCTGGAGGTTACCAGACGTTACACATTCAGGTTTGCTTTATTGTTTATTATCTGATATTAAGGAAAAATGTAATTTCGAGAACCAAACATAGAAAACAAAGTTAACCTACTTTACATTGAAAGAAAAAAAAAAACAACACAGCTCTGGTCAGATGATCGCTCTCTGGCTTTCCTGAGGACTGCCCAGGCACAGCCAACACCCGTGTCCGGCAACCTGAACCCCGCTCCAGAAGTCGGTCCTGACACCCATGTCCGAAGGGCCCCTTGCAGTCCCAAGTTCACACAGCCGCCGCCCACCCCCCAGGCTGCCAGACCTCCTGCTTCGTGCCCGCCCCTTCCCCTCTCACACTGAACCTGGAGTGTGCTCTCTTTAGGCAAGTTCCCACTTGCAAGTGCCCTGAAGCTTTTAATTTATGTCTCCAATTACGCAGGCTCAGGGCATTGGCACTGATAGGGCATATCCATGCTGTACAATACACGTTTGTCACAGTTCCGGCAGGGGCGGGTACTGAACATGACCCCCTGTGGCTCCCGAATTTCTTTCAGGATCCCCAGCAGGTCCCGGCAAAGCTCGAAGAACCTTGCCCGCTGGATCACACCCTGGGCGTTATAGCTCTCCAGGGGAGCGGGGTAAAGCTCCAACCTCAGCTTGTTCAGGTTGCCAGTGTGCCGCATCAGGCCCTGCATTGTCTCCATGGAGAATTTGTTCCCATAGAAACAGCAAGTGGTGAGCTGGGAGCAGCGGCTCAGGGCAGGCAGGAGGGCATCGAGCTGGGAGTCGGTGATCTCACAGTCCAGGAAGTCCAGGGTCCTGAGGGTGGACGCCACGGTCTCCAGCAGCACTCGGAGGGGCTCGAGACGGAGGCTGGTCAGCGGGACGCAGCTCAGGTACAGGTGTTTCAGCTCATCGGTGTTCGGGCACTGGGACAAGTGCACGAGATCTGCTTCTGAGAGGACGCAGTTGGTTATGGACAGAGCCTCCAAGGGGGCGCTCAGGCACCTGAGGACAGATAAGTGTTAGTCCTGGGGGATGACGTCAGGGTGGGAGACAGCTCGCTGGTCCCGGCCCCAAAGCCCAAGACTGCTCTGACATCCAAGCAGGCCAACACCCAGAATGCTGGTCCCGCAGGTCAGCCCCCTTTAAGCTGAGTCTTAAAGGTCATTTGTGCGCCATGGTCATTTGTGCACCTGGGTCAAGCTCAGGGAAGCCTCCACAGCTCCCTTTTGTCGACTGTGGAGAAGGAGCAGAGTCTCACGCGACTGGGCCAGACCCGGCCAGGGGGAGACGCGAATACGAGTCAAACCCCGGCAAGATCCAGCAGTAGCAATATGGCTGCCAGCCCCGGACGGCTCGCCCACACCCCTGGGTCAGCAAAGCATCTACCACGTTTCACAGCTATCGGCTCTCCAGCCCTGAATCAGACACCTCTCCCATGATACTGACCCGTACCTGGAGCTCAGGGCCCTAGCCATAGGCCCCTCCCTGCTACACAGGGAACAGGTGCACAGCTTACACTTTGAGGTGTGCAAATATGATGCTGCTTCCCCTTTTCAGTCCCCTCCTCACACTTACCTACCTTCCAGCATCTCGGGCATCCTAGGAGAACTCCCAGACACCCCCAGGAGCTGGCTCCCTTCCTAGGACATACCCCTTATGCTCAGTGCTCCTGGGAGACCGTGCATCAGGCACTGACATTCTACTGTGTGGCCTGGGTCCACGGCTGGTGGCTGGCACTCAGTGGATGCTCACTCACTCTGCTGGGGCCAAGGCTTTCCTGTGGTCTGCGGAGAGGGCCCGCCCTGCGTCCTCACCTGAGCACCCGGTCCAGGTGGTCCTGCAGGAAGCTGACACCTCTCATGTGGAGCCTGCGAAGCCGATTCAGCCTGAGGAACTGCGAGGTGAAATGGGAGATGTGCTCCTCCTGCTCCTCGGGGGAGCTGTCGGTGGATACGCAGATGTGGGACAGACACAGCTTCTGCAGGTTGCTCATCCGGCCCAGATAAAAAGTGAACTTGGCCAGGGTGGAGAGATGCCAGGTGGAGCGCACATTCACTTCCTGGATGCAGCCCAGCTCCAGAAGGTCTAGGAGTTTGCGGATGCTGTAGAGGAAGGTCGCCGAAATCTTCAGCTTGCGACAGCACAGGTGCACCGTGCGCGGATTCTTCTTCACCCACTGGAACAGGTACGCCAGGAACTCATTGGGCATTATATCGCTGAGGCAGAGGTTTGCCATCACCTTCACAGCCGACCTGGCGCACATCCTTGGGCTGTGCTGCACCGGCTGCATCCTACCCACAAGGCCTGGAGGGCAGGCATGGACACAGGCGCTCCAGAAGGCCCCATGAATGCTCCTTAAATCCAGCGTCCGCAGTTTGCACCTCCTACGGTGGAAAATACAGGGAGAGCTCAGGTCTGGGCAGAGCGAACTTCCGAGCCGGGCACCCCACACCCCGCACAGCAGCTGCCCCGCCCTCCCGTCTCTTGTTAGGTCTGCTTTTCCTTCCTCCCCGTTTCCCGTGGGCTCCTGCCTGGTCCCCGCTCTCTAGTACTTGGAAGTACTTCTGGGAAGAGCCAGGTGTGCGTTCCCTCTGCTCTCATTCGCTGCGACCAACCTAAGCTGCCCTAGGAGGAAGCTCAGGGGCAAGGCCTCTCTTGCTGCCTCCTTGGTATCCGGAAGCTCCTGGGCCACTCTGCAGCCTGTCCCTGGCCCCAGCTGTCTCTTCCCTGGACTCCGGGGTCACTCTCACCTGCAGCCAGACCTCCGTGTGGGTCTCATGTCCAGCCCGTCCAGCACGGCCTTCAGGATATCCAGCTGTGGCTCCTTCATCAGGGCCCCCAGTGGGAGGGTGTCGAAGGGCCAGATCCGCACCAAGGCCTTCAGCGTGTCCTTGAGTCTCGCGGTGAAGGCGTCCTCGAAGAGAGGCGGGAACATCTGGGGGGGCAGCTGCTCCAGGGCCGGGATGGCCAGGCTCTCCTTCTGTAGCAGGCTCTTCCGCGCCAGATCCACGAGCGTGGGCAGCGACCCGGTGCTCATCCTGTCTCGCTGAGAACAACCCTGGGAAGCGTTCGGGAAGAGGCACCCGGTCAGGAGCCACTCAGGCAACCCCAGCCTGCTGGGGCCCCACGGGTGGCACTATGGGCTGCCAGGGACTCCTGAGCACCCCCTGCCCAGGTCTCCTCTGCGCCTCTTGGCCACAAGTCACACGCCAGCCCATTGGACACTGGGTGTATCTCACAAGCACTGAAGTGGGGATCAGGGGAGCGATGGCCCATCCATCCCAAGCACTGTGCCACTGAATTCTGGGTCCACTGAGAGTGAGGCCCAGGGAACTTGACTGCAAATCCCCTCACCTGACCATCATTCAAGGCCCTAAAGCAATGGAAATGGTCGTGTCATGGGTCAGTAGACTCAGATCAAAGTTTTAATCTGTTCATTTGAAAGGCAGAGTGATGGACAGGAAGAGACTGGTTCACTCCCCAAATGCCCATGACAGCTGGCGTTGAGCCAGGCCAAAGCCAGGAGCCAGGAGCTCCACCCTGGCCAAGCGGGTCATAGCCATCATCTGCTGGCCCCCAGGTGTGTCAGCAGGAGCCTGAATTGGAAGCAGAGGTAGGACATGGACATCCCAAGCTGTGGCTTAACCTGCTGCACCATCAGTTCCAACAGTTATCTGGGAAATTTAAATCATTTTCAAACTTGAAAGCTAAAATGTTTTAATAACATACAATTAGTGCTATTATTATCAAGCAAATATCAACATTGGGCTGCAAGAATTATGAAGAAACAAGTTAACAGGACACTTTCAAAGGAAATTACTCTTCAGAAGCAGAATTCAGAAAATACCCGTGGTGGGCACCGTCGTGGCACAGCAGGCTGGGACGCCAGCACACCAGACAGGTAGCTGTTCAAGTCTGGCTGCCCCACTTCCCATCCAGCTCCCTGCTAAAGTGCCTGGGAAAGCAAAGACAGAAGTACCTGGGCCCCTGCCACCCACGTGGGAGACCCAGATGGGATTCCAGGCTCCTGGCTTTGGCCTGACCAGCCAGGACTGCTGTGGCCATTTGGGGACGAAACAGCTGATAATATCTACCAACCATTCATCTGACGTAGGATTCATACCCGCCACATACAATGACCTGAAGCTGACAGCCATAGAATCGGATAACTCAATTTAAAAATGGGCGGGACCAGGTGTTGCCGCACAGCCCATTAAGCTTCCACGTGGGCCACCCTTATCCCATCAGGGTGCCTCCACCTCCTGTTCTCCGACAACTTCCTGTCTCTGTGCCTGGGAAGCTACAGATAATGAGCCAAATACCTGGGTTCCTGCCAAGCCCAGGGGAGACTCAGACGGAATTCCTGGCTCCTGGTTTCTCTCTTGTGTGGCCCTGGTTGTTGTGCGCATTTGGGGAGTGGACCAGCAAATAGGAGATCTCCCCCACCCGCTTCACTCCTGTCTTTCAAATTATAAAATCTGTGCTAAAAATTTTCAATGGGCAAATGATGGGAACTGACATTTCTTGGAAAGAAATGCAAGTTAACCATGGGTAGAAAATTGGCATAGCAGTAAAGACCTCACTTGAGACACCCACACCACATGTGGAGTTTGAGGGCTCTAGTCCGGCTAATGTGCAACTCGTGTAGTTGGGTGTCTGCCCCCATACTGAAGCCCCAGATGAAGACCCTGGCTTCTGATTCTGGCTCAGCTGCTGCTGGCATCAGGGGGAGTAATCTAGTAGGTGGGAACTCGCTGCTTCAAAAATGAAATAATTAATTACCAGGCCAAGATATGAGAAAGAATCCCTGAGAATTTCGGGAGAAAGCTATAGTCTTAACGTTTAAATCTCTGAAAAGAAAAGGAGTTAATCTTCCACTGGAGACTCCATGAAGACAGGCTCGGTGGGGGCTGGCAGTGAACTCCAGACATGCGCATAACTACCAACAGATGATTGGATAAGTAACTGCAGCGCCATAGAGCCACCGCCTGCAGTGCCGGCACCCCATGCAGGCGCCGGTTCAAATCCAGGCTGCTCCACTTCCGATCCAGCGCCCTGCTAAGGCGACTGGGAAAGCAGCCCAAGTGTTTGGGCCCCTGCACCCACGTGAGAGACCCGGATGAAGCTCCCGGCTTCAGCCTGGTCATGAGAGCCAGCTGGGGAGTGAACCAGAGGATGGAAGATCTCGTGCTCTCTCTAACTCTGCTTTTCAAATAAATAAATCAGCCTTTAAAAAAAAAATAAGTGAAATCTTGTTGTTTGGAACAAAATGGATAGAACTGGAGGACATTAGGAAGTAACATAAGCCAGACACAGAAAGAAAATCTATGTTCTCTCTAGTATGTGGAAGCTTTAAAAAAAGTCCTTCTGACTGTAGCCATTACCAGAGGCTGGGAGGGGTGAGTGGGAGGGAGCAGAGAGCGGAGCAAGTCGGGGTGTCCCACAGCACAGTGGGGGCGCCTCTAGCTCAGGACAAACGACCCTGTGTTTAAGAACCAGAGAGCTCAAGGGCTCCACACGCAGAGATAAATGGAGAAAAATGCGAACGACCCTGCTGTGGTCTGTGCACCATTGAATCATCGCACACTGCGCCCCGTCCATGGGCCCACTTACCACAAGTGAGCCAAAACTGACGTCTAAAAATTAAAAGGAGGGGCTGGCAATTTGATGAAGCCGGTCAGGCTGCCGCCTACAACGCCGGCATCCCAGCCTCCCATCAAGCTCCCTGCTAGTGAGCCTGGGAGAGCAGCGGTAGATGGCACAAGTGCTTTGGCCCCTGCCACCCATGTGGGAGCCTGGGGCAGTTTCCGGCTCCTGGCTTCAGCCTGGCCCAGCCGCAGTTGTTGTGCCATTTGGGAAGTGAACCAGCAGATGGAAGATCTGCTTCTTTGTCTCTCCCTCTCGTCACTCTGCCTTTCAGATGAATGAACAAGCATTTTTTTTTTTAATTTAAAGTAAAATCTATCACATGATTGCAACTTGTCTATGCCATAGGACGTCCTACTCTCAATATCCCTAGGCCCCACATTTCTGCCACACGCGAAAATAAGTAGGATTCTTGAGGATTTTCAAGAAAATTTAAAGTCAAACACAAGTTTAAAACTCTTTGAAAAGGAAGAAGATGGAGGATTCTGCATACCGTCTGGTGCTGTCTCGCCCCGGAGACTGAGGGGAGGCCTGGTGTGGTTCCTCGTGGAGGCCGGAGACTCTGGCTCTGGGAAGGCCGGCAGAGCACCGGCGCTCTGGAGGGAGCAGGCGGCCGCTCTGGGATCCAAGGCTGTGGGTCTGGCCTTTCCCTCCCCAGGGGCTTTTATTGGTTTCTGTAATCACATTTGCTCCCTCCCATCGCCAACAGCCAATCAGAAGTGACTCTGATTAGCCTCCTGGCCCCCGCCCAGTGGATCCGATTGGGTCTCTGCTTTCTCTGGGTTGACTGTGTCAGTTGTTCAGACAAGAACCGGGAAGAATTAGGGGCGGGGTGATCCAGCCCACAAGCTCTGAGCAGGTTCTACTGAGGCTGAGGTTGAAATAAAATCACAGAACCTGAGATGATAGATCTTGGTGGTGTCTGCAGCAGGGCCCTGGAATGGCCCCGGACAAGGCTAAAATAAACACGTGTGGGTTTTCTGGGTGGTGGGCATGGAGCATTGGAAGGCCTTTATCTGGACAAATCGGTTTAGAAAGCGAAAGGGGAGAGAGTGCAAAGGAGATAACAGAGACTCAACCCCAATCCCGGCCTCCAGGCAAGGGAGGGAGAGGGGCTGCTGATGCCACCCTTACCCCCACCCCCACCCCAGGGAGCAGGGGCTGCAGAGGGGGTCAGCTCAGGGGCTGTGACCCGAGGCAGGGGCGGAGAGCAGCCCTGACAGCCAGAAAGCCCCTGAGGCTGGAGGGTGATGCTGGAGAGAGACGTCACACAAGTCAGCCTCCACAGCCCTCTGCTCCTTAAGGCCCTTCGGCTGGCAAGAGAGAAATCTAGAATTTGAACGTAAGGCAAGTCATGAGTTGGAGAAAATCAGACTGGATGTGACGCGGTGTTTGAAGACAATCTTCAGAGCCAAGTATGTACAGAGAAAATAGGAAGCAAAATGAGCTATTTGGTTAGTTCCTGTCATAAAATTACATTGTTCGGTTACCTTGTTGGGAAGTTCTTTATCACATAAAGATATATTAGCTGGTTGTTTATGGTTACACAAGGCTTTTTGTTCAGATTTGTTTATTTATTTAAAAGGTGGAGCATCGGAGAGAAAGAGGAAAACAAAGAGAGCTCTTCCATCAGCTGGTTCGTTCTCCAAACGGCAACAACAGCCAGGTCTGGGTCAGGCTGAAGCCGGGACTCCATCCAGGTCTCCTACCTGGATGGCAGGGGCCCAGGCACTTGGGCCATCCTCTGCTGCTTCCCCAGGCGCATTAGCAGGGAGCTGGATTGGAAGCGGAGCAGCCGGGACTCAAATGGGCGCTCCAATACCGGGGAAGCCAGTGCGTCTGGGCCTCCGTGTTGGCTCCTGGAGGTTCTGTTCTGCCCGGCTGCAGAGTTTCCCGGCAGTGACCCAAGCCCCGTCTCCCCTCTGGTCCCCGTCGCTCCGTATGCAGGCTCTGAGTGTGCTTCAGAAATGCACTAAAAGATAGGTTTATTTTGGTACAAAAATCCACGCTGGAAGTTTTCGTAATACCAATTTTCCATGAACTTTTTGAAGACCCTGGGTATACATGGATTTCAACAGGATTTTTATACCAGAATGAACTTGTTGTTTTTTATTTACGCCACTCCTCACCAGCTTTTTGAAGTCCCTTCAGTTTTCATGGTTTTGTTATTTTTGTATGCTCAGCAATTTCTTCACATCTGGTCGCTATTTTTAATTTTAATTTTGTTAACTAAAATACTCAGTCTGGCTGAAAAAGGAAAAAAAAAAAAAAGCAAGTTTATTCAGCAAACTGAAGATTTACACCCAGCAGCGCCTGTCAGTTGCCCGAGCTGGCTGCTCTGCAAGTCTGATTTTGGTTGCAGGTTTCAGCTTTTTTCTCACAGCTGCCTGA